ATCCTCTGCAGTCTTTCTCTCCGGGCTATTTTGCTTTTGCTTCTTCTTCTTCTTGGGATCCTCTGCAGCCTTTCTCTCCGGGCTACTTTGCCTTTGCTTCTTCTTCTTGGAAGCCTCTGCAGCCTTTCTCTCCGGACTACTTTGCCTTTGCTGCTTCTTCTTCTTCTTCTTGGGATCCTCTGCAGCCTTTCTCTCCGGGCTATTTTGTCGTTGCTTCTTCTTCTTGGGGTCCTCTGCAGCCTTTCTCTCCGGTTTCTTATGCCTTTGCTGCTTCTTCTTGGGATCCAATGCAGCCTTTCTCTCCGGGCTACCACTACTTTGCCTTTGCTTCTTCTTCTTCTTGGGATCCTCTGCAGCCTTTCTCTCCGGGCTATTTTGCCTTTGCTTCTTCTTCTTCTTGGGATCCTCTGCAGCCTTTCTCTCCGGGCAATCTTGCCTTTGCTTCTTCTTCTTCTTGGGATCCTCTGCAGCCTTTCTCTCCGGGCTACTTTGCCTTTGCTTCTTCTCTTCTTGGATCCTCTGCAGCCTTTCTCTCCGGGCTAGATTGCCTTTGCTTCTTCTTCTTCTACTTCTTGGGATCCTCTATAGCCTTACTCTCCGGGCTGTTTTGCCTTTGCTTCTTCTTCTTCTTGGGATCCTCTGTAGGGCTACTTTGCCTTTGCTTTTTCTTCTTGGGATCCTCTGCAGCCTTTCTCTCGGGCTGCTTTGCCTTTTCTTCTTCTTCTTCTTCTTGGGATCCTCTGCAGCCTTTCTCGCCGGACTAGTTTGCCTTTGCTTCCTCTTCTTCTTTTTAGGATCCTCTGCAGCCTTTCTCTCCGGGCTACTTTGCCTTGGCTTCTTCTTCTTGGGATCCTCTGCAGCCTTTCTCTCCGGGCTACTTTTCCTTTATTTCTTCTTCTTCTTACTGGGATCCTCTGCAGCCTTTCTCTCCGGGCTACTTTGCCTTTGCTTTTTCTTTTTGGGATCCTCTGCAGCCTTTCTCTCCGGGTACTGTGCCTAGTGCTTGTCTTCTTCTATTTTCTTGGGATCCTCTGAAGCTTCTCTCCGGGCGACTTTGCCTTTAATTCTTCCTCTTGCGGATCCTCTGACAGGCCTTTCTCTCCTTCTTCGGGCTACGGTGCCTTTGGTTATTATTATTGGGATGTCTGGAGCTAATCTCTCCAGAGACTCCTTTGCCTTGTGCTTCTTATGCTGCCTGGCGAGCCTCTGCAGCATTTTCTCTACGGCACCATACTTTGCCTCTGCGCTTCTCTTCTTCGTGGGATCCTCTGTGTGAGCTTTCTCATACGGGCCCTACTTTGCCTTTACTTATCTTTCTTCTTGGGATCATCAGCAGCTTTTTCCTAAGGATCTCCAACTTTGGCCTTTGATTCTGATTCTTCTTGGGATCCTCTGCAGCCTTTCTCTCCGGGCTACTTTGCCTTTGCTTGTTCTTCTTGGGATCCTCTGCAGCCTTTCTCTCCGGGCTACTTTGCCTTTTCTTCTTCTTCTTCTTGGGATCCTCTGCAGCCGTTCTCTCCGGGCTACTTTGCCTTTGTTTCTTCTTCTTGGGATCCTCTGCAACCTTTCTCTCCGGACTTCTTTACCTTTGCTTCTTCTTCTTCTTGGGATCCTCTGCAGCCTTTCTCTCCTGACTTTTTTGCCTTTGCTTCTTCTTCTTGGGGTCCTTTATAGCCTTTCTCTCCGGGCTTTTTTACCTTTGCTTCTTCTTCTTTTTGGGATCCTCTGCAGCCTTTCTCTCCGGGCTACGTTGCCTTTGCTGCTTTTTCTTCTTCTTGGGATCCTCTGCAGCCTTTCTCTCCGGGCTACTTTATCTTTGCTTCTTCTTCTTCTTGGGATCCTCTGCAGCCTTTCTCTCCGGGCTACTTTGCCTGTACTTCTTCTTCTTGGGATCCTCTGCAGCCTTTCTCTCCGGGCTACTTTGTCTTTGCTTCTTCTTCTTCTTGGGATCCTCTGCAGCCTTTCTCTCCGGGCTATTTTGTCTTTGCTTCTTCTTCTTCTTGAGATCCTCTGCAGCCTTTCTCTCCGGGCTACTTTGCCTTTGCTTCTTCTTCTTGAAATCCTCTGCAGCCTTTCTCTCCGGGCTACTTTGCCTTGGCTTCTTCTTCTTGGGATCCTCTGCAGCCTTTCTCTCCGGGCTACGTTGCCTTTGCTTCTTCTTCTTCTTCTTGGGATCCTCTGCACTTTTTCTCTCCGGGCTACTTTACCTTTGCTTCTTCTTCTTCTTCTTGGGATCCTCTGCAACCTTTCTCTCCGGACTACTTTGCCTTTGCTTCTTCTTCTTGGGATCCTCTGCAGCCTTTCTCTCCGGACTACTTTGCCTTTGCTTCTTGATCTTCTTGGGATCCTCTATAGCCTTCTCTCCGGACTTTTTCGCCTTTGCATCCTTCTTCTTCTTGGGATCCTCTGCAGTCTTTCTCTCCTGGCTACTTTGCCTTTGCTTCTTCTTCTTCTTGGGATCCTCTGCAGCCTTTCTCTCCGGGCTGCTTTGCCTTTGCTTCTTCTTCTTCTTGGGATCCTCTGCAACCTTTCTCTCCGGACTTTTTCGCCTTTGCTTCCTTCTTCTTCTTGGGATCCTCTGCAGCCTTTCTCTCCTGGCTACTTTGCCTTTGCTTCTTCTTCTTCTTGGGATCTTCTGCAGCCTTTCTCTCCGGACTACTTTGCCTTTGCTTCTTCTTCTTCTTCTTGGGATCCTCTGCAGCCTTTCTCTCCGGGCTACTTTGCCTTTGCTTCTTCTTCTTCTTGGGATCCTCTGCAGCCTTTCTCTCCGGGCTACTTTGCCTTTACTTCTTCTTGTTGGGATCCTCTGCAGCCTTTCTCTCCGGGCTACTTTGCCTTTGCTTCTTCTTCTTCTTGGGATCCTCTGCAGCCTTTCTCCCCGGGCTACTTTTCCTTTATTTCTTCTTCTTCTTACTGGGATCCTCTGCAGCCTTTCTCTCCGGGCTACTTTGCCTTTGCTTCTTCTTCTTCTTGGGGTCCTCTGCAGCCTTTCTCTCCGGGCTACTTTGCCTTTGCTTCTTCTTCTTCTTGGGATCCTCTGCAGCCTTTCTCTCCGGGCTACTTTGCCTTTGCTTCTTCTTCTTGGGATCCTCTGCAGCCTTTCTCTCCGCCACTTTGCCTTTGCTTCTTCTTCTTCTTGGGACCCTCTGCAGCCTTTCTCTCCGAGCTATTTTACCTTTGTTTCTTCTTCTTCTTGGGATCCTCTGCAGCCTTTCTCTCCGGGCTACTTTGTCTTTGCTTCTTCTTCTTGGGATCCTCTGCAGCCTTTCTCTCCGGGCCACTTTGCCTTTGCTTCTTCTTCTTCTTGGGATCCTCTGCAGCCTTTCTCTCCGGGCTATTGTATCTTTGCTTGGGATCCTCTGCAGCCTTTCTCTCCGGGCTACTTTGCCTTTGCTTCTTCTTCTTGAAATCCTCTGCAGCCTTTCTCTCCGGGCTACTTTGCCTTGGCTTCTTCTTCTTGGGATCCTGTGCAGCCTTTCCCTCCGGGCTTTTTTGCCTTTGCTTCTTCTTCTTCTTCGTTTTCTTCTTCTTCTTGGGATCCTCTGCAGCCTTTCTCTGCGGGCTACTTTGCCTTTGCTTCTTCTTCTTGAGATCCTCTATAGCCTTTCTCTCCGGGCTACTTTGCCTTTGCTTCTTCTTCTTGGGATCCAATGCAGCCTTTCTCTCCGGGCTACCAATACTTTGCCTTTGCTCCTTCTTCTTCTTGGACCCTCTATAGCCTTTCTCTCCGGGCTACTTTGCCTTTGCTTCTTCTTCTTCTTGGGATCCTCTGCAGCCTTGCTCTCCGGGCTACTTTGCCTTTTCTTCTTCTTCTTGGGATCCTCTGCAACCTTTCTCTCCGGGCTACTTTGCCCTTGCTTCTTCTTCTTCTTGGGATCCTCTGCAGCCTTTCTCTCCGGGCTATTTTTGCCTTTGCTTCTTCTTCTTCTTGGGATCCTCTGCAGCCTTTCTCTCCGGGCTAGTTTGCCTTTGCTTCTTCTTCTTCTTGGGATCCTCTGCAGCCTTTCTCTCCGGGCTAGTTTGCCTTTGCTTCTTCTTCTTTTTCTTGGGATCTTCTGCAGCCTTTCTCTCCGGGCTTCTTTGCCTTTACTTCTTCTTCGTCTTGGGCTCCTCTGCAGCCATTCTCTCTGGGCTACTTTGGCTTTGCTTCTTCTTTTTGGGATCCTCTGCAGCCTTTCTCTCTGGGCTACTTTGCCTTTGCTTCTTCTTCTTCTTGGGATCCTCTGTAGCCTTTCTCTCCGGGCTAGTTTGCCTTTGCTTCTTCTTCTTCTTGGGATCTTCTGCAGCCTTTCTCTGCGGGCTCTTTTGCCTTTGCTTCTTCTTCTTCTTGGGATCCTCTGCAGCGTTTCTCTCCGCGCTATTTTGCCTTTACTTCTTCTTCTTCTTGGGATCCTCTGCAGCCTTTCTCTCCGGGCTACTTTGCCTTTGCTGCTTCTTCTTGGGATCCTCTTCAGCCTTTCTCTCCGGGCTACTTTGCCTTTGCTTCTTCTTCTTCTTGGTATCCTCTGTAGCCTTTCTCTCCGGGCTATTTTGCCTTTGCTTCTTCTTCTTCTTGGGATCCTCTGCAACCTTTCTCTCCGGGCTATATAGCCTTTGCTTCTTCTTCTTCTTCTTGGGATCCTCTGCCGCCTTTCTCTCCGGGCTACTTTGCCTTTGCTTCTTCTTCTTCTTCTTCTTCTTAGGATCCTCTGCAGCCTTTCTCTCCGGGCTACTTTGCCTTTACTTCTTCTTCGTCTTGGGATCCTCTGCAGCCATTCTCTCTGGGCTACTTTGGCTTTGCTTCTTCTTCTTCTTGGGATCTTCTGCAGCCTTTCTCTGCGAGCTCTTTTGCCTTTGCTTCTTCTTCTTCTTGGGATCCTCTGCAGCGTTTCTCTCCGCGCTATTTTGCCTTTACTTCTTCTTCTTCTTCTTGGGATCCTCTGCAGCCTTTCTCTCCGGGCTACTTTGCCTTTGCTGCTTCTTCTTGGGATCCTCTGCAGCCTTTCTCTCCGGGCTACTTTGCCTTTGCTTCTTCTTCTTCTTGGGATCCTCTGCAGCCTTTCTCTCCGGGCTACTTTGACTTTGCTTCTTCTTCTTCTTCTTAGGATCCTCTGCAGCCTTTCTCTCCGGGCTACTTTGCCTTTACTTCTTCTTCTTCTTCTTGGGATCCTCTGTAGCCTTTCTCTCCGGGCTATTTTGCCTTTGCTTCTTCTTCTTCTTGGGATCCTCTGCAGCTTTTTTCCACGGACTTTTTTGCCTTTGCTTCTTCTTCTTCTTCTTGGAATCCTCTGCAGTCTTTCTCTCCGGGCTACGTTGCCTTTGCTTCTTCTTCTTGGGATCCTCTACATCCTTTCTCTCCGGGCTATTTTGCCTTTGCTTCTTCTTCTTCTTGGGGTCCTCTGCAGCCTTTCTCTCCGGACTCTTTTGCCTTTGCTTCTTCTTCTTGTTCTTGGGATCCTCTGCAGCCTTTCTCTCCGGGCTTTTTTGCCTTTGCTTCTTCTTCTTCTTGGGATCCTCTATAGCCTTTCTCTCCGGGCTACTTTGCCTTTACTTCTTCTTCTTGGGATCCTCTGCAGCCTTTCTCTCCGGGCTACTTTGCCTTTGCTTCTTCTTCTTCTTGCGATCTTCTGCAGCTTTTCTCTCCGGACTACTTTGCCTTTGCTTCTTATTCTTCTTGGGATCCTCTGCAGCCTTTCTCTCCGGGCTGTTTTGCCTTTGCTTGTTCTTCTTGGGATCCTCTGCAGCCTTTCTCTCCGGGCTACTTTGCCTTTTCTTCTTCTTCTTGTGATCCTCTACAGCCGTTCTCTCCTGGCTACTTTGCCTTTGCTTCTTCTTCTTGGGATCCTCTGCAACCTTTCTCTCCGGACTCCTTTACCTTTGCTTCTTCTTCTTGGGATCCTCTGCAGCCTTTCTCTCCGGACTTTTTTGCCTCTGCTTCTTCTTCTTGGGGTCCTTTATAGCCTTTCTCTCCGGGCTACTTTACCTTTGCTTCTTCTTCTTTTTGGGATCCTCTGCAGCCTTTCTCTCCGGGCTACGTTGCCTTTGCTTCTTCTTCTTCTTCTTGGGATCCTCTGCAGCCTTTCTCTCCGGGCTATTGTATCTTTGCTTCTTCTTCTTCTTGTGATACTCTGCAGCCTTTCTCTCCGGGCTACTTTGCCTTTACTTCTTCTTCTTGGGATCCTCTGCAGCCTTTCTCTCCGGGCTACTTTGTCTTTGCTTCTTCTTCTTCTTGGGATCCTCTGCAGCCTCTCTCTCCGGACTATTTTGCCTTTGCATCTTCTTCTTGGGATCCTCTGCAACCTTTCTCTCCGAGCTGTTTTGCCTTTGCTTCTTCTTCTTGGGATCCTCTGCAGCCTTTCTCTCCGGGCTACTTTGCCTTTGCTTCTTCTTCTTCTTGGGATCCTCTGCAGCCTTTCTCTCCGGGCCACTTTACCTTTGCTTCTTCTTCTTCTTGGGATCCTCTTGCAGCCTTTCTCTCCGGGCTATTTTGCCTTTATTTCTTCTTCTTCTTGGCATCCTCTGCAGCCTTTCTCTCCGGGCTACTTTGTCTTTGCTTCTTCTTCTTGGGATCCTCTGCAGCCTTTCTCTCCGGGCCACTTTGCCTTTGCTTCTTCTTCTTCTTGGGATCCTCTGCAGCCTTTCTCTCCGGGCTATTTTGTCTTTGCTTCTTCTTCTTCTTGGGATCCTCTGCAGCCTTTCTCTCCGGGCTACTTTGCCTTTGCTTCTTCTTCTTGAAATCCTCTGCAGCCTTTCTCTCCGGGCTACTTTGCGTTTATTTCTTCTTCTTGGGATCCTCTGCAGCCTTTCCCTCAGGGCTACTTTGCCTTTGCTTCTTCTTCTTGGGACCATCTGCAGCCTTTCTCTCCGGACTACTTTGCCTTTGCTTCTTGATCTTCTTGGGATCCTCTATAGCCTTTCTCTCCGGACTTTTTCGCCTTTGCTTCCTTCTTCTTCTTGGGATCCTCTGCAGTCTTTCTCTCCGGGCTATTGTATCTTTGCTTCTTCTTCCTCTTGGGATCCTCTGCAGCCTTTCTCTCCGGGCTGCTTTGCCTTTGCTTCTTCTTCTTGGGATCCTCTGCAACCTTTCTCTCCGGACTTTTTCGCCTTTGCTTCCTTCTTCTTCTTGGGATCCTCTGCAGTCTTTCTCTCCTTGCTACTTTGCCTTTGCTTCTTCTTCTTCTTGGGATCTTCTGCAGCCTTTCTCTCCGGGCTACTTTGCCTATACTTCTTCTTCTTGGGATCCTCTGCAGCCTTTCTCTCCGGGCTACTTTGGCCTTTGCTTCTTCTCTTCTGGATCCGCTGCAGCCTTTTCTCTCCGGGCCTACTTTGCCTTTACTTCTTCTGTTGTGATCCCTCTGCGCCTTTCTCTCCGGGCTACTTTGCCTTTGCTTCTTCTTCTTTCTTCTTGGGATCCTCTGCAGCCTTCTCCCCGGGCTACTTTTTCTTTATTTCTTCCTTCTTCTTCTTGCGATCCTCTGCAGCCTTTCTCTCCGGGCTACTACTTTGTCTTTAC